AAATTCAAAACACAGTAAAAGTTTTAAAAACTATGTTCATACCCAAAATATAATTTTTTAACCCAAAATGCCCTTCACGGTCCTAATAGGCCTGTGATATCGAGGGACTCCCAATCGTCGATTTTATTGGGCAGCATGGCTCTATTAGAGCCATGATACACCATCATGGCCTTAACGGATATGTGATGCTCCATCACTATCCTATTAAAGCCACGATGCCCTAGAACACGTTGGATGAATGTAAGGCATCCGAGTGAGGGGCCCTAGGCATCACGGTCCTATTGGTAACATGGCCCTAATGCCCAAGGAAAACCCCGACAGGGACTTCGGCATCACGGTCCAATTAGGCCGTGAAATGCATTTGGGTCTTAAAAAAAAGTTTGTTGAGTATGAATGTAGTTTTTTAATATTTTTTTAGTAATTTTGAATTTTTGAAAAATATAGGGATATGTTTGATAATTTCACAATCCCATTTTTAATAATAAATACTACATTTTAAGTTCATTGTTATCTTTATAAAATACTTGTCGAAAGGGGGTTCGGTGGAGGATGGATTCAGTCAAATTACGATTTGGGCAAGAGATTGGCCACAAGGCTACCCTTGCCCAGAACGCCAGTGGTGTTGGCTCCTGAAATGACAAAACTAGAAACGTGCACAAAATTTTTGAAATGGAGTTCCGAGAAAAGAGGGGGAGATTGAGAAGATGTGTTTTAGAAATAGACGAAAGAAAATAAATGAAAAGAACATAAACCAGGGTGTACCGTGACTTGGGCCCCCATGCCCGATACTTGGAGCCAGTGCCAGTTCAAAAGTAGTGTGGATGCGTCGATTTCTGCAATCCTCAAGGATTCCACCACGCGAGGCGATCAAAGTCAATTTTTTTTTTTTTAGGGTTTGAAAGTATCAAAAATTGAGTTCAGGTGTCCTAGATCGGGTTTTGAGTCTACCAGGTTAGGAAGATTTAGGGTCAGTGTAAGGTATGACAGAGTCTAAATAGATGGTTCAGAGTGTGATCATCAAAATGAGGGGGTTCGACTCCTATTTATAAACAAATGGCACCTTTAATCACCTTTGAAAGTTTGGGATCAAATCTAGGCCGTCCATCACTTAACGACACTAGTAGGCTCTCTGGCATTGCCATCCGGGGAGTTGGAGACGTGCATCGTTTGGCTAACACGCAACTGCGAGACTTACGAACGATGTGGCCTGGTGGTGGCGTGACAAAAAACAAATAACGACAATAGTGGTGTCGTTGGCGTTGCTACTCGCATCTTCCAGATCAATTTTGTGCTCCAACGTTGTTGGTCCCGGTCCTAACAACCATCATCTAAACAATGATAGTTACTTTTTGGCTGCGATTTGTGTATTTCAGGACCTAGGGGTTGGAGGTTGTTTTGACCAATTAGATAGTGGCGATGCTGATGGGGTTGTTGGTGCGACTCATGACGCTCGGTTTGCAGACTCGTAACTTCAGTCACCGACTTCTCAACTAGGCCTCTGCCATCTATGGCGTTATAGTTGATGTTGCTGAATTGTTTGCCTAACAACCCCACTTCAGTTGTTGGCGTTGCCAGATAGGTTGCCCTACCTGGCAACTATCCCGACGAGATTCCAGACCTGCTCATAGGTTAGTTTCTAACCATTCAAGGCTTCTTACTGAATTTTAGAGGTAAGGTTTGAGGTTTATGGATACTTTGACGAAGCTAGTAATTTTTTTAAAAAAAAAAAATATGAAAATTAAAATAAAAGTAGTAAAAGTAAAATAAAAACAAAAGCAAACTTTAAAAAGTATAAATGATGGATGTAAAAATAAAGTGAAATTATACTTATAAAAAATGGATGTAAATTACATATAAAAAAAATATACAGTTTTTCCATGTTTTAAATTATTTTTTAATTTTTTTAATTTTTTTTCTATATACCACGAATTATACACGCAACGGAGGGCAACTCGGCCGCTAAGCTGAGTCCCGTAACACTGAATAGAACTGTATTACATTTATTTTCTTTCTCAGAAACCAAATAAGCGTCTCAATGGCCTTGGTTCACAAAAATGAATCATCCCATAAGCAATAGAGAATCCAATTCTTTTCTGGTAGAGAGAGAGAGAGACAGAGAACAGCTCCATAAGTGGAGGCACAAAGCACCATGAAAAATAGCGAAAGCTTGAAATCGAAGTGCTTTCAGGCTTTTCCCACTTTTCATCTATGACATTTTGTGTTGTCTATTGCTCCTACACTTACCCATTGGTTTTGGGCAATTGATTTTTTGGGCCTTTGCTTTCTTCAAGTGAGAGTTCATTAGTCTATTTCGAGTTGATTATTGTCAGGATTGGATGTTGAAGATTTGAAGTTAGCCCAATATATATTTTTTTCTCTTTGATTTATTTTAATTACTTAAATTGTTGCTACTTAGAATTTTCAAAATTCAAAGTCACATTTGATTTTGGTATATAAAGCCCATTCTTCGAACATTAAAGATCCAAAGTTAAATGTGACATTATATCTTCAATATTTAAAGTCAAATGAGACTTTGTATGTTGAAGATTTAAAGTGTTGGAAATTAAAAAAATAAAAAAGAGGAAAAATGGATTATCAACATTATTATCATCAGAGCTTTTTTCCAATTACATAGGGTTGGCTACATGAATCCCTATCAATAGTCATATCTTGGTGAGGCCATAAGTCTCCATATCTTTTTTTACTACAGTCAACCATGATCTTTTGGACTTACCTCTTACATTCTTTGAGCATTCAACTTGAACCAACTCACACCTCTTAACAGGTGCTGTACTTAGTCTACATTGTACATGGCCAACCCACCTTAGTCTACTTCTCTCATCGTATCGCTTGTTGGAACCATACTTAAGTTCTCTTGAATGTATTCATTTCGAATTTTTTTCCTTCTTGTTTTGCTACGCATCCATCTCAATATCCTCATCTCAGTTATACTCATCCTATGGGTATGTTGTTTTTTGACTGCCAAACTTTTTGTTGTGTAAAGCAAAGCTAGTTTCACAACTGTCATATAAAACTTCTCCTTCAACTTTATTAGTATGCGGCCATCAAATAAAATTCCGGTTGAACATTTCCATTTTGCCCACCCGACACTAATTCTATGTGTGACATCGTCTTCAATTTATCTATTTTTTTTTAAAAAAGAGGAAAAATATCTTTGTATACCCTCTCATTAGGTTTCATTTCTCAACAGACCCGGAGTTTGAAAACATGTCTGGCGGTATAAAGATCCCATAGAGTATATTTTCTAACCCCCTGAACTAACTTTATTCCTTTTGACTACACTTTTTTAGTTCAAATAAAAGTAAAAATACATCATTTTCTATTCCTTTCTAAAACCCCCTTCTTGCTTCCCATGTTTCTAAATACCTAGTTGAATGTATGAGTTGAGATGGTCTATCGACTTCATTTTGCCTTACATTCACAAAATAAAACTCCTAAAAAAAAGTTAAATAAAGGAAGAAATAAACTAGAAGATAGAAAGACGGGATTTAGAGAGAAATCAAGAGAGTCACTCACCATTTGATCTTAGAGCCGACGTCTCAAAGAATTTTATTTTTAGTTTTTTTTATTATACAAGTTGTATGAATATGAAATTTGGTACATGGCATCTTCTCATTGGGGCGCACCTATAAATAATATTAATTTTTTTTTGATAAAATATAATTATCAAAATACCCCTTGAAACTTTCAGGGGTATTTTGGTCAATTTATTTTATTGAAAATATTTGTTTTTCTATTTTTCACTAGTGCGAGTTTAATGAGGATTGGACGTCCAAAAGTTAGTGTCAAAATAGTTTATAGAAAAAAAGTTAAAAATAAAATAGTATAGAGACGTGACATTATGATTGGGGCAATCTTAGCCCTCCATTTAGAATGGACGGTTAGATATCGGGAAGCATATAAGTTTTATGCTGCAGGGAAAACATAGAAAGCTTGCTGGGAAGATATATTATGGGCTAGCTTTCTATGCTTCAGCTACAACATAAAACTTATATACTTCTCCCTATCCAACCGTCTATTTTGAATTGACGGCTAAGATGGCCCCAATAAAAGTCACATCACTATACTAATTTTTTTTTAATTTGTTTTTTACAAAATATTTTGACAACAATTTTTGGGTGTCCACTCCTATCTTAAACTTGCAATTGTAAAAAATATTATTTTTTCTCAATAAATAAAATAATTAAAATACCCCTAAAAGATTTAAAGGGTATTTTGGTTATTATATTTTATCGAAAAAATATTTTTAATATTTTTTGAAGTACGTCCCATTGAGAAGATGACATGTACCAAATTTCATATTCATAATTTTAAATAAAAATAAAAACAAAAGACTCTGAAGTATCAGATCTAGATCAAATAGTGGATCTAAATTGTGCGGTTGTATGGAGGGGGAAGTATATATCTTCCTATAGGGGAAGTATAGAAATATTTCCCATATACTATTTGAGATCTCTATGGTGTAAGATATATTTTAAAATCTAGGTTGGTTTAGAATATTATATGAGATCCCTATGTTGTAAATGTTGTAAGATATACTTTAATTTCTAAGTCGGTTTAGAAAGGAAACCTAAAAAAAAGTGGGTATACTGATATATTTTCCTAAAAAAATAAAAAGAAAAAACAATTGGGCAATGTTGAGAATATAGTGATTATAGCAGTTTTTGTGTAAGTTTCTTTATTTATTGTGGCTGTAAAACTTTGATCTCTAATGCGCACACGCGTATAAGAAAACCATCTCTTTGTTCCCCCCCTGTTCTCCTGGTCTGTTACACGACACATCTATGAGGCTGCTGGTCACAAGGTTTCCCACTTCACAAGGTCTTTCCTTCTTCTCCGCAAAATTAGCCCTTCTGGTTCATGTTACATCTCCCTTCATCTTCCCCAACTTGCCAAAAGAAGTAAGTCTTCTCACCCATGAACTCATTTGTTCAAGAAACTTCTCTCTTACCCAACAAGTCACTGAACCTTTAACATACATGAAGCTCTTCAACTCCCTATTCACAGTTCTCAAAAAAGAAAACAAAAATTTACAGGCTTTAAGATCTCTAGATTCATTGCTAAAAAATGACCTTTTATTTGATTCTGCAACTTCAGTTTTGGTAATCCATCGCCTTTGTGAGATTAACCAATTAGTGAGGGCAAAGAAAGTTTTGAGCCAATTGACAAGGAACCCAAAAATTTCTGGGTTTTTCTTGTACAGTATTGTGATTCACTGTATAGTAAAGGATGGTAGAATTAAAGACGTTGAATGTACTTTTGAGGAGATTATAGGTAATGGGTCTTTGGCAAATATAAATGTTTCAACATTTATGAACTATCTCTGCAAATTGGGAAAAGCCAGGGAGGCCAAAAATGTCTGTCAGCGAGTTTTAATGGAGAATGTAATTTTGGAATATCAGAGTTATTTGGCTTTAATTGGGGGTCTCTGTCAGAAAAATGAGGCCTTTTTGGCAGGAGAGGTCCTTCGAGCCATGGAGCAAAATGGCTTCCAACCGGATTACATCACTCATCTATTGATGTTCCAGTGTTTTTGTAGATTGGGTCTCGTGTATGAAGCTGATATAATTCTTAGAAGTATGATTATGAAAAATTACACTCTTGATATATGTGTATATGGGAGCTTCATTCATGGGCTATGCAAATCGGGTAAGCTTAGAGAAGCTGATAAGCTGTTCAAAAAGTTGATAAACAAGGAAACGACTTTGAGAGTTCCTAACGTGAAGCCTGGTCGAAGAGCCATTTTCCAATTGAATGTTAGTGGCGCTATCCCTGAGATTATGGCTTATGAGGCCTATTGCAGGTCCCTCTGTAATGTCGGTCAGTTAGAAGAGGCTGGTGTTGTGCTCAAAGCACTGATGAGTAAGAGAAATGTGCCTGAAACTTGTGTTTATGGCTCCTTCATTAGAGGGCTTTGTCGTGCTGGTAGGGTCTCTGAGGCCATGGAATTCTTTAACACCATGAGGAAAAAGGGGTGGGTCTCAAATGTGGAGATCACCCTTTGTGTTATTAAGGCTCTTTGTGAGATAGCTAAAACAAATGAGGCTCTTGGGCTTTTTGATGAGCTTTCGAAAGGTGGTTTTGTTCCAACAACTAGTGTGATCAATGATTTCCTCACTGGTTATTGGAGAGAAAGACAACTCAATGATGCAATGAGATTGTTTGAGAGAATAATGGATGGAAGTTGTGGGAAACCTGATGCTTCAACTTATAGTATTATGGTCACAGGGCTTTGTGAAAATGGGCATTTGTCAAAGGCTCTTTGTATTTTTCAAGAAATGATTAATAACAAAGTGCCTGTGAATGGCTCATTATATGATATCATCATTAGGGGGCTGTGTAAAATTGGGTCGTTTCAGGAGGCGCATATGCTTTTGAATGAGATGATTGAAAATGGATATTTGGCTTCATATCTGGGGTGGTCATCACTTGTTGATTCAATGCTTGAGTTGGATGGGGAGGGTCTCTCAGAAGGATACATCACACCGGTGCACTCGCACCAGCAAGAAAGAGGTGTACTATAGATACTAAAGGCACGGACTCTCTAAGTGACTATTGGGGAATTCTTGCCTCTCTAAGTGACTATTTGTGAATAGTGGCATATCAAAACTATTTCAAGCATAAAATTTCTCCTCACAACTACCAAAAAAGAAACCTCACATTTTTCAGGTTATTGATGATGGTTGGCAAGAGCTCATATTTCAGAATCTAATCTGGACCACAAATTTGATTTTTTTCAATTCATTTATTCCTTCACGGTGGAAAAAAAATAAAAACCTTTTCTTTGACAGCAAAGGTGTTCACCTGGTCTTGCAGTACGTCAGGTGAAACATGACACATAATTGAATTCCACTGATTTTAATACATCTAACGATATGGACCAGCAATTGAGATTGTTTACAGACATCCTTCCAGAGCTATGGTTCCTTTCAGCAAATGTATGTAAGGATGCAGGAGTTATTGGACATCAATATATGATTGTGAACGTATAGTACGCTTATTATGTTAATAACGTTATTGTCTTTTAAGTCAAGTAGTTAAGGCTGCAGTCGGCAATCATCACAAAACTGAAATTTTTTAATCCATATAGAATATTGAAAGGGTGTGGAAGATCTTTCCCCTTTCCATGTGAAGATCTATGGAACATTATGTGGTGTTTATGACATATGACATGGAAGTGAAAATCATTACATAATTTTATTTCTTGGATCCAAACACTGCTTATGGGTTGTTATTTCTGCTTTTTGTGAATGCTAGAAAGGTGTCTATGAAGGTCAAATTTTTGCTTGCTGATATTGATTTTAGAATTGGCCCTCAACCCTTTCAAAGATCTGTACATGAACTTCTGGTATGTGAATGGATGAGTATTTTGTGATTGGCATTGGTGTGAAAATACTCCCATCCCTAATCATATGAGGGAGTTTTTTCACACTCACGTGTACCAAACGCGCCCAAAGTGTGGAGAAAGCTGTCTTTTTCTATTGCTACTCTTGTCGCATTTTCTTCAAAAGAGAGTTAGGAAGTATACAGCATGCAGAATAGTTTGTGTTGCTACGTTATGCTTGATCATGACAAGTTTCATCTTTTAGATAGATGAAAATGGTTCGATTTATGAAGTACCGTTCATAGTTGTTTCTATTTCATGTGGTGCCTTGCTTCTGTGGACTTTGGCTTTCATTTTCGTACTGTTGGCCTTTATTGTACACCGAGAATTATTTTGAGATCGTCTGATGAAAGGTAGTATGAACTATGGAATGGTCTGTCCCCTCCTTCACAGTCTTCCTTTCTATTAACACGTATCTTCATGTTTTCCTCTGGTTAGAAGTTTCCTGAACCCATTTTGGTTTGTGGTAACACAGTTCCATCTCTATATTTTGGTTGACATGGGCCGGAGGAACTAGAGGAGTATGGAGATTTCCTTCCATTTAATGTATCATGTCTAAGGTACAGAATCTGTTTTAATGCGCTTTTGTGCACAGAGGGCATCAAACTGGAGGGACGAGCTGTATATGAAAAGTGAGACAAATATGAACAAACAACTTGAGATGCAACTATGGGACCTAAATTTCATACTTGTTTTCCAAATGCAGAATTTACAAGCACCTGAATCATGAGTTGCTACCTAATGCTACAACGACATTCTTTTTATTGGAAAAAAGAAAAATGGTTGACTGGTGTGAATATTATCCAAAACAGTAAAGATAAATCCTCAGGATTCCGTTGTGGGACATTCCCATTAAAAAGGAGTTTAGAGAGAGAAGTATTCATTCTTATGGGATTTTTTTACCTCATAAAAAGTGACCGTCTTTCTGTACGCCTTAAGCACCTGTCTCTCTCTGTTTCTATCTCTAGAAACTTTAGAATAAGAAAACTCATACGTGATTTAAGAGCTCTTAGGCATTTTATGAAAGGCTCAGGCTTTGCACTTCATATATTTTACTTTTTGTTCATTGGCCTAAAGTTGTCGGCATCAAACTCTCGACCCGGAAGAGCTGCATGCAAAAAGAAAGACCGACACTAACCAAGAAAGGGAAATCAAATTCGAAAAAGGTATGTAATCTGTATTTAATCCAAATATTTTGTATTTTTGCGACGTTGCGATTCACCCAATAAATCCAAAGAGAGAGAGTGTATTACCTAGATTGGATGATGTTGCTGGTGCAAAAAATAAAACTTAGAATATGCTAAATTATGTCATTTTTTTATAAAAAAACTGGACGTTCTCAACCCTTAGTAGCAAGGTTTTACAAATATGTGATTTGGACATAAAGCGGCCGATTTGGATCCCGCTAAATATTGGGAACCAGTCAGTTTTGTCGGAGAACCAGATCCATTTTATTTTTTAAATATTTTCTTCAATTTTTTGTTCCCTAATTTTTAATTTTTTATTTGTGGTTTACTAGGATGGATCGCAGATCCAGACCCCCAATCCATCGATCTAGACTAGTTTTCCAGAGTGGTGATCTGGGTTACTAAACGATGTTTTTAAACCTTGCTCAGTTGCATCTTATGTGTCTACGATACATCCATGATCGCACTCGCCTTTAGTTTTTTTAGAGAAAGCTTTTTATATGCCACTAAGTACAGGGAATTTATATAGGCCACCCCTCTCTTAGTTGTCCAATATATATGGACGGCTGAGATGGCTCCTAGTTGTCCAATATATATTGATGGCTGAGATGGCTCCATTTACACTGTCAGACCAAAACACTATTTTATTTTTAATTTTTTTTGTAAGTCATATTGACTCCAAATTCGGGGTGTCCATTCCTCTCATAGGATCTCACCTACAAAAATATTTAAAAAAATATTTATAAAAGATAAAGAGAAATTATCGGAAATGTAGCTTAATTTTTGGCTTATTAAAAAAAACCTGTACTTCTTTAAACTTCGTCCATAATTTTTTTTTTTTTGCATTTTTCAAGTTTTTTTGACCAAAATAACCTTCACGGTAGTTGTATAATCGTGAAGGTATCACGGCATACTTAGTACCGTAATGAACTTAATGTTTTGAAGTATCACTGTACTTCATGTGAAGTATCATGGTGCTTAAAATACCGCGATAACTATGTGAGGTATAACGCTTAAAATACCTCGATGACCATTGGGGCTGTTCTGATCTCGTAATTTCTTAGGGTACTAATTAGGACTTAAATGAATGGGTATTCAATTATGGACTTAATCAGTACTTGAGATGTGAGAGCAAATAGCTGGCTTCTGAAAACTCAACTCATGCAGCTTGCAGACTAAACCTCTAAAGGGCACTATCATACTCTTAACAGTTACAGAAGCTCCTTTGACAACCTTTGTCCTTAAGGGATTCAAGGTATCCTCAGAGATCGTTGAAGCTCTACTGTAACTGTACGGGTCTTTACTGGTCCAAGTTAATGTGGATTCAATGGAGGCAAGAGCCCCCACTCACTGGATTCATAATTCTCTACCAAACATTTTCGAATCCATTAAGAAGGTAATTATCTAAATGAACTCTGATGGGAGCAAGTGTTGTTCAGTAACTTCTCTGTTCCACCCGTTCATCTTTTTACTCCCAAATGGCCAAGTCATTCAACCTACTGAAACAGCTCCCCCCCAAAATCCCACCATGGTGTCTCTGGTCCCTCCAAAACCGTACCTAAAAACTTCCCCTACGGCCCAGAACATCGCATTCAAGAACTTTTACAATCACAAGCCTCTCCTACCAAAACATAGACTAAAGACTGTCATGGTTTTTTACGCATCGTCATACTCCTTTGTGGTCATAATTACATTTTAAGTATCGTGATACTTTACGTGGTCATCATGGTAAAAGTACTGTGATATCCTTTAAAACATTAAGCCCAACCCATCACAATACTAAGTATACCGTGATGCTTTTACAGTCATACGACTACCGCGAGTGCTATTTTGATAAAAAGAAGGCAAAACATGAAAAAAATGGTTATGGATGAGGTTTAGAAAAGTATAAGTTTGTTTTTCTTCTTCTAATACGCCAAAAATTGAAGTATATTTATGATAATTTATAACCAAAACACCCTTAAAATATTGAGGGGCAGTGTGGTCGTTCTATTTTTCCAAAAAGGTTTTTTAATAATTTTCGTAGAAGTGGAATAGTGGTGGTTAGGCAATGGTCGTGGTGGAGTGGTAGTCGTGGTGGTGATGTGGTGCTGGCTATGGTGGTGGTGTTGGAGAGAGAGAGCCAAGCATAATATTTCACAAAAGTACTTGGGAGTAATTTTGTGAAATATTCAATTCGGGAGCCCAATGGCGGTTAGGAATCAATTCAAATTTGCAAATCAAATATCTATTGAAGTTAAGTTTCTGGTCAAAAAATTTCAAATAAACCCAAATTGCAATTTGGCTTAGAAAGTCAGATGGTGCCTTATTATCATTTACTCGAACCATGAATCTTGTGTACTTTGAAGAAGTCAAACAGTAAAACTCAACCAAGAGTGATTGATAAAATAAACTTTTTCTTTTATATTTAGATATGAAAATAGATTTTTGGGCCATCTTAAAAATTTTTGACATCAAAATTGCGTGTTATGAGAAAGTTTGGAGGTCTGCCTTATTTTAAATATTTGGGCTTGCAACCTTATTATGCAAGCCTCACCCTTTTGAAAAATATTACTTGAATGCTCATGCCATTTTACAATATATCGTCCAATTTGATATTAGTATGTATGCTTTATAAGTTTCACACTTAAGTACCTCGTAAAAGATGTCCTTATAATTGCCTTTGTCACGAAGGTCCCTTCCTTTAATGGTAAAACTTTATATCATTTATCATAAGTAGTATTTATATCATTTAGCTCGAATCAATAAAATTCTTGAAATGCTTTGCTTGTTCAAGTCCTAAACTTTAATAGGGCAATTTGGTTATTTTTTTTAATATATGTTTTTTAATGAAGTACCTGAGAGTGAGAGTAATGAAACTTAAAAAGTATTCTTGCTAGTTAGGGCTGTTAATGGGCCTGGGCCAACCAGGTGGTTGTTGGGTTGGGCTATTTCTAGTTTGGGCCATGTATTA